AGATAGATTGAATACATAAAAAATATATGGGGACACCCAAGTTAAGGAGTGGAATATGAATAAACCAAGACTGCATCCAAATGAGATCAATCCTGATGATATAATGGTTAAGAAAGATTCTTATGAATGGAAAGTTACTACTTATATTAACAAGTTGCACATTTCTTTTCAGTGATCGAGTCATAAGAACTTTATGGTTAGCATGTTTTTCTTGGAGCAATCTTCTTAAAAATTCGCGTGGTTTAAACAGCATAGCTTGATAAGCAAACACCTAATCAGATGCCCCATTGTTATTTTCGTTGCTTAACATACCTATCATTTGCGTTCCTAAGACTTGAATAATAAGCTAATTATCTGATTGTGTATAAGTAGGAATCATGTCTCGCACCCAATCAATAGACTCAAGTCTAACGTGTTATGACGCTTCAAATTTATATATTGACATGTCATTTTTATACGTGACATGTCATTTTTATACGTGCATGAGTCCGCAAACTGACTCTCTATAATACATGTCATATATGCATGTGCAACCATCACAATCATGCTATAATCAAATACAATAATATCAAATCAGGTGAGATTAATTAAGATAACACTTACATTAAATACAACATGAGTAAGATGTTATTAGCCTCAACCTATTAATTCCGGAAAAATTAACCTAAATTAAAGATCTTAATAGTAAATGTTTATGAATTTACTGAAAATATTATGTTTGCTGTTTAGGTAGAGCTCAATGCTGATTTTGCCGTTCAAGTTCTTCCACTGCTTCCTAATCAACACGAGGGAAAAGGTCCAAAAAAAGAAATAGACCAATTCGGCAGTTTTTTGCTCAATTTCTGGTGGGATTAGATTCTGATCGGTACGAGTCAAGGGAATGACCTCTTGGCCTATCTTTTGCTCAATTTCTCGTGGGTTAGATTCTGATCGGTACGAGTCAAGGGAATGGCCTCTTGGTCTCCCTTTTGCTCAATTTCTCGTGGGGTCAGGTTCTGATCGGTACGAGTCAAGGGAATGACTCCTTGGTCTCCCTTTTGCTCAATTTCTCGTGGGGTCAGGTTCTGATCGGTACGAGTCAAGGGAATGGCCTCTTAGCCTCCCTTTTGCTCAATTTCTCGTGGGGTCAGGTTCTGATCGGTACGAGTCAAGGGAATGACCTCTTGGCCTCCCTTTTGCTCAATTTCTCGTGTGGTCAGGTTCTGATCGATACGAGTCAAGGGAATGGCCTCTTGGTCTCCCTTTTGCTCAATTTCTTGTGGGGTCAGGTTCTGATCGGTACGAGTCAAGGGAATGGCCTCTTGGCCTCCCTTTTGCTCAATTTCATGGCCTCTTGGCCTCCCTTTTGCTCAATTTCTTGTGGGGTCAGGTTATGATCGGTACGAGTCAAGGGAATGGCCTCTTGGCCTCCCTTTTGCTCAATTTCTCGTGGGGTCAGGTTCTGATCGGTACGAGTCAAGGGAATGGCCTCTTGGCCTCCCTTTTGCTCAATTTCATGGCCTCTTGACCTCCCTTTTGCTCAATTTCTTGTGGGGTCAGGTTATGATCGGTACGAGTCAAGGGAATGACCTCTTGGCCTCCCTTTTGCTCAATTTCTCGTGGGGTCAGGTTCTGATCGGTACGAGTCAAGGGAATGGCCTCTTGGCCTCCCTTTTGCTCAATTTCTTGTGGGGTCAGGTTCTGATCGGTACGAGTCAAGGGAATGACCTCTTGGCCTCCCTTTTGCTCAATTTCTCGTGGGGTCAGGTTCTGATCGGTACGAGTCAAGGGAATGGCCTCTTGGCCTCCCTTTTGCTCAATTTCTCGTGTGGTCAGGTTCTGATCGGTACGAGTCAAGGGAATGGCCTCTTGGTCTCCCTTTTGCTCAATTTCTTGTGGGGTCAGGTTCTGATCGGTACGAGTCAAGGGAATGGCCTCTTGGCCTCCCTTTTGCTCAATTTCATGGCCTCTTGACCTCCCTTTTGCTCAATTTCTTGTGGGGTCAGGTTCTGATCGGTACGAGTCAAGGAAATGACCTCTTGGCCTCCCTTTTGCTCAATTTCTCGTGTGGTCAGGTTCTGATCGGTACGAGTCAAGGAAATGACCTCTTGGCCTCCCTTTTGCTCAATTTCTCGTGCGGTCAGGTTCTGATCGGTACGAGTCAAGGAAATGACCTCTTGGCCTCCCTTTTGCTCAATTTCTCGTGCGGTCAGGTTCTGATCGGTACGAGTCAAGGAAATGACCTCTTGGCCTCCCTTTTGCTCAATTTCTCGTGCGGTCAGGTTCTGATCGGTACGAGTCAAGGAAATGACCTCTTGGCCTCCCTTTTGCTCAATTTCTCGTGCGGTCAGGTTCTGATCGGTACGAGTCAAGGAAATGACCTCTTGGCCTCCCTTTTGCTCAATTTCTCGTGCGGTCAGGTTCTGATCGGTACGAGTCAAGGAAATGACCTCTTGGCCTCCCTTTTGCTCAATTTCTCGTGCGGTCAGGTTCTGATCGGTACGAGTCAAGGAAATGACCTCTTGGCCTCCCTTTTGCTCAATTTCTCGTGCGGTCAGGTTCTGATCGGTACGAGTCAAGGAAATGACCTCTTGGCCTCCCTTTTGCTCAATTTCTCGTGCGGTCAGGTTCTGATCGGTACGAGTCAAGGAAATGACCTCTTGGCCTCCCTTTTGCTCAATTTCTCGTGCGGTCAGGTTCTGATCGGTACGAGTCAAGGAAATGACCTCTTGGCCTCCCTTTTGCTCAATTTCTCGTGCGGTCAGGTTCTGATCGGTACGAGTCAAGGAAATGACCTCTTGGCCTCCCTTTTGCTCAATTTCTCGTGCGGTCAGGTTCTGATCGGTACGAGTCAAGGAAATGACCTCTTGGCCTCCCTTTTGCTCAATTTCTCGTGCGGTCAGGTTCTGATCGGTACGAGTCAAGGAAATGACCTCTTGGCCTCCCTTTTGCTCAATTTCTCGTGCGGTCAGGTTCTGATCGGTACGAGTCAAGGAAATGACCTCTTGGCCTCCCTTTTGCTCAATTTCTCGTGCGGTCAGGTTCTGATCGGTACGAGTCAAGGAAATGACCTCTTGGCCTCCCTTTTGCTCAATTTCTCGTGCGGTCAGGTTCTGATCGGTACGAGTCAAGGAAATGACCTCTTGGCCTCCCTTTTGCTCAATTTCTCGTGCGGTCAGGTTCTGATCGGTACGAGTCAAGGAAATGACCTCTTGGCCTCCCTTTTGCTCAATTTCTCGTGCGGTCAGGTTCTGATCGGTACGAGTCAAGGAAATGACCTCTTGGCCTCCCTTTTGCTCAATTTCTCGTGCGGTCAGGTTCTGATCGGTACGAGTCAAGGAAATGACCTCTTGGCCTCCCTTTTGCTCAATTTCTCGTGCGGTCAGGTTCTGATCGGTACGAGTCAAGGAAATGACCTCTTGGCCTCCCTTTTGCTCAATTTCTCGTGCGGTCAGGTTCTGATCGGTACGAGTCAAGGAAATGACCTCTTGGCCTCCCTTTTGCTCAATTTCTCGTGCGGTCAGGTTCTGATCGGTACGAGTCAAGGAAATGACCTCTTGGCCTCCCTTTTGCTCAATTTCTCGTGCGGTCAGGTTCTGATCGGTACGAGTCAAGGAAATGACCTCTTGGCCTCCCTTTTGCTCAATTTCTCGTGCGGTCAGGTTCTGATCGGTACGAGTCAAGGAAATGACCTCTTGGCCTCCCTTTTGCTCAATTTCTCGTGCGGTCAGGTTCTGATCGGTACGAGTCAAGGAAATGACCTCTTGGCCTCCCTTTTGCTCAATTTCTCGTGCGGTCAGGTTCTGATCGGTACGAGTCAAGGAAATGACCTCTTGGCCTCCCTTTTGCTCAATTTCTCGTGCGGTCAGGTTCTGATCGGTACGAGTCAAGGGAATGGCCTCTTGGCCTCCCTTTTGCTCAATTTCTTGTGGGGTCAGGTTATGATCGGTACGAGTCAAGGGAATGACCTCTTGGCCTCCCTTTTGCTCAATTTCTCGTGCGGTCAGGTTCTGATCGGTACGAGTCAAGGAAATGACCTCTTGGCCTCCCTTTTGCTCAATTTCTCGTGGGGTCAGGTTCTGATCGGTACGAGTCAAGGAAATGACCTCTTGGCCTCCCTTTTGCTCAATTTCTCGTGCGGTCAGGTTCTGATCGGTACGAGTCAAGGAAATGACCTCTTGGCCTCCCTTTTGCTCAATTTCTCGTGGGGTCAGGTTCTGATCGGTACGAGTCAAGGGAATGACCTCTTGGCCTCCCTTTTGCTCAATTTCTCGTGGGGTCAGGTTCTGATCGGTACGAGTCAAGGGAATGGCCTCTTGGCCTCCCTTTTGCTCAATTTCTCATGGGGCCAGATTCTGATTAGTACGTATCAGGGAATGGACTCTTGACCTCTTATTTGCTCAATTTCTCGTGGGGCCAGATTATAATCGGTACAAGTTAAGGGAATGACCTCTTGGCCTCCCTTTTGCTCAATTTCTAGTGGGATCAGATTCTTATCGGTACGAGTAAAGGAATGACCTTTTGGCCTCTAATTTCCATATAATAAAGGACACAAGTGCATAAATACCCTCTTTAAGGAAAGTTACTACATGCCCAAGGAATCAAAAGAAGATTTGATGATGTTTTTCCAAGAAACCTCCAACTAAGAATAGACCACTACCTAGGTTCCACGAAAGTGTGCACCACAAATTTCTACTCCTAAGAAAAAAAAATTATTTGCAAGGCAAAAATAGGTTGCTTTTAACCGTGTTAAATTAATAAACTTTTGTAGTTGGAGAGAGACAGAAAGCCTCTCGACCTCAGTTGGATACTCAACAACGAAAAGACTGGTTTGCAGGAAGGGCCTTCCAAAATGATATTTATCAACCCGGAAATTTACTTATATCCAAAATCCCACTTCAAAATCAGTATAATATGACACACGCGGCTTCGCATTTGCATGCCTACACATACGTGGAAAGCTCAACCAAAGCTCGCAACTCTGCCGTGGCTGGCTACCCTTCGCTTGTGGAACCCACAACACAAAATCACTCCCTCCCTCCCTCCACGTTCTATACATGCACCCACACCCCATTCCTATAAATACAAGCACCCAGTCCACCACCCTTTTCACTCCACTCTCTATTACCACCATCTACCTCTTCAGAATCATCAACAATGGCGAGACTCACAGGGATCATTGCTCTCATATTGATGGCGGTGCTGGTTTCTGATGCCTACGCCTACCGCACCATCACCACCGTGGAAGTGAACAAAGACAACGAAAGGCGGGCGGAGAGGTGCAGCCAGATGAGGGCCGACGAGGAGATTGGCAGCTGCGTTCAGTACCTCACGCAGCAGAGCAGAGATGTGTTGCAGATGCGTGGAATCGAGAACCAGAGGAGGAGAGAAGGGCAGGTCTTCGATGAGTGCTGCAGAGAGCTGAGGAATGTGGATGAGCAGTGCAGGTGCGAACTCTTGGAGCAGATAGCGATGTGGGAAACGAGGAAAGGACGACCCCAGGAAACAAGGCAAATGCAACAGAGGGCTAGGAACTTACCATCCATGTGTGGACTCCGCCCACAGCAATGCTACTTTTAAGCGCCTATGCCCCGCACCAGCACATCATCGTGTGCTTCCACTAAATAAAGATTTATGAATTCCATGATCGAAATTTCTCTCTGACACCACTAACTAATTAACAATTTCTGTGCGCAACTTGCTTCAGAAAGATTAAATAAAAAACGAACAGAGGCAGATGGAACGCATTATTTATTAGTCAAATGGGTTCTAGAACAACATAAGAAAGACTAGAATACACGCAGACGGGCCATACAGAACTATACAACGATTAAGGAAAAAAAAAGTACCAAATGCAGAATCGATCAATTTTGAAGACCACCACGAAGGCGAAGGACAAGATGGAGAGTGGACTCCTTTTGAACGTTGTAATCAGCCAATGTACGTCCATCCTCCAATTGCTTTCCAGCGAAAATTAACCTCTGCTGATCTGGTGGAATCCCCTCTTTATCTTGAATCTTAGCCTTAACGTTATCAATGGTATCTGAACTCTCAACTTCCAAAGTGATTGTTTTACCAGTTAAGGTCTTCACAAAAATTTGCATTCCACCGCGAAGACGGAGCACAAGGTGAAGAGTGGATTCCTTTTGAATGTTGTAATCAGCTAGCGTTCGTCCATCTTCGAGCTGCTTGCCTGCGAAGATCAACCTTTGCTGATCGGGAGGAATACCTTCCTTGTCTTGAATCTTAGCTTTGACATTGTCGATTGTGTCAGAGCTTTCAACCTCCAGTGTAATCGTCTTCCCGGTAAGCGTTTTGACAAAAATTTGCATTCCACCACGAAGACGGAGCACCAAATGCAATGTTGATTCCTTCTGAATATTGTAGTCCGCCAGAGTGCGGCCGTCTTCAAGTTGTTTACCAGCGAAAATCAGTCTTTGCTGGTCAGGGGGGATACCCTCTTTATCTTGGATCTTTGCCTTCACATTATCGATGGTATCAGAGCTTTCCACCTCTAAGGTGATGGTCTTTCCAGTGAGGGTTTTCACGAATATTTGCATTCCACCCCGTAAACGGAGCACCAAATGGAGGGTTGATTCTTTTTGAATGTTATAGTCAGCGAGGGTTCGGCCATCCTCAAGCTGCTTTCCAGCGAAGATAAGCCTTTGCTGGTCCGGTGGGATCCCTTCTTTATCTTGAATTTTGGCCTTCACATTGTCAATAGTATCAGAGCTCTCAACCTCGAGGGTTATTGTTTTGCCGGTGAGAGTTTTCACAAAGATTTGCATCTGTCAGAACCAATTATATAAAGTCAATTAGAAAATGGATGTAAATCCTGTAATCAGGAATAATCTGAAAAAACGAATGATCAGAAACATTACATCCCCTATGGTGAATAGAAATTGAAAATTTCGTCGTGGAAGTCATAAATCGAAAAAATGAACTCTGATAAACACAGATCAGATACATATATGCAAAAACAAGAACCACTAGCTGCAAACTTTCACCGTCATAGAACAGAATGGAATTATAAAATTACAAATACTGAAAGAAAAAAAAAATAAATAAATAAGTAAGATATGATCACAATGAACGAAGCAAAACAAAGCATGTCGGCATCATCGATTCATTCAACCGAACCACAAAACCCTATCACAAATCTTAAGACAGAAAGAAAGTGCGTAATTCTAACGAAGAGCAACGATTAAGAATCTCTCCGAATTAACGAACAGGCATGAAAAAATACAAAAGACATATCGTGTGAGTTGAACGAAAACTCAAAAATCAATTAATCGAAGAAGAAGGTAAACAAATCAAATCTGAGAAAAGATGAGAGATCAGATGGCAAACCTTGAGACGGTTGAAGAGAAGACTTGGAATTCATAGCCTCTTGCTAGTGTAAGCAATACGGGCTCTAAATAGCATCTTTTTAGTTGTTGGGAACTCTATCAATCATAGGGAAAAAATATGTTATCGGATCTGGACACGAGATACCTTAAAACCTAGTACTAGATTAGGTACCTATAACCCAGCTTCCCGTGACCATAACTCTAGTATCCAAGCATGAATTCATAAAAATCACATAGTGAGCCCAAACATAATAGTTCATCAAGGCAAAGGCCACCACCCGAAGAATAAAGCACCTCTCAAGCAGATCATTACCCTAGTGGAGTTTTGGATAAGTTGACATGTCTAGAAATAAGATTCACCACCTTGGGAGTAGAGCTATGGATGTCATGACTGCAAGGTTTTGGTTGGAGTCTTCAGAAGATAAGTTCTAGTTTGTGGACTTTCAGGGGCGCGATATGTGCATTATGTCATTTATTATTATGGTTTGAAAGATCACCCAATAGATGAAAATTTGCTACTTTGGACTTCAAGAGGAAAAGTCCAAGCCCAGTAACAACACGTGTTATCAAGATTATATGACGACATTATAAGTTTTCCTTCAGATTGGACAAGCATCCTCATCAAGTTAAGGTTGTGGAACCATCACGATAGACCAGTGAACCTTGGAGTCGAGGAAAAATAGAAAAATGGTCAAGCTATGGCCACACATTCACCATCTTGAGAGAGGAAAGTCCAGACATCTTGTTAGTAGGAACCTACTCTTGAATGAGTTATTTTTTGTTATGAAGAGTAGGACTTAGTTCCACATACAAGTGTGATTGACATACCTATGAAGCATACTCAAATAGAGGCAAACCTCTAGATAACATGATTCTACCTTAATAGTAGTGATCGTGTCTTGCAAATAGGTAAGGCCAACAAGAGACATGACATAGGACTTTACGCCTACCTATAGAGGAAGCATCCCCAGAGCTTTAGGAAGGCTTGCCACCACACAAGGGCTTACAGTAAGTTTCCTAGGATCCTGTACAAGAACCTGTGAGGTTTACATGCTCGATAGGGCTAGTGATAAGGTATCACTAAGAGAGAGCATGACAAGATGAGCCATAAAAATTTACGGGAGCTAGCCTAGGTGAAGGCAAAGGACTTATGCAATGGTCATCTACTTTTAAATAGCTCGTACTTAACTCAGATGAGTATTAGACTTAAGCAAAGCTATGTGGCAGGGCATCACACTATGAAAATGCTAAATGATAACTTTAGTTAATTTGTCAGGAGAGTTAATTTGAAAAGTCAGCTGAAACAAAAGGCCAAGAGCCTTTATACCAATAATGGTAGGGTTATAGGTGTCTCTCTCGTACCTATTACTAGAGTTGGAAAACCTTATAAATACTTAATCCTTTAGTGTGAAGTCAGAGCAAAAGAGAGCAACAGAGAAAAGAAATACAAAACAATAGAAAAGGATTTTTTTTATAAAATCAGTGTTCTTTGTCTCCTTGTCTCTCCTCTCTCCGCATCTCCTTTACAAATCGCGAGTAGTATTTTCACAAAGCGGTATCGGAGCGTTCTATCGTTAGTATGTGTGAAATTTACTTCACAGATTGGTGAGTTTAATTTTAACAAATTAGTATCAGAGCCAATGGCGAATGTGATGGCTCAAATGCCACTACCACGATTAACGAAGACAAACTACGAGAATTGGAGCATCCAAATGAAAGCTCTTCTCGGTTCTCAAGATGCATGGGAGGTGGTCGAAGAAGGTTTCGAAGAACCAAAAGATACCATGGGTTATATGGCGGCACAAAACAAAGCGTTAAAAGAATTGCGATCAAAGGATAAGACGGCATTATACATGTTGTTCCGGGCAGTTGACGAGTCGGGTTTTAAGAAGATTGCCAGGGCAACTACTTCAAAAGAAGCATGGGACACTTTAAAAGATGTTCAAAGGAACCGACCGAGTCAAGCAAGTGCGTTTCCAAAATCTTCGTGGGGAGTTGGAGAGCATGAAGATGAAGGAGTCAGAAAATGTAGCTGACTACATTACGCGCGTACAGAATGTGGTAAACCAACTAAATCGAAACGGAGAAATGTTACCCAAGATACGGATTGTGGGTAAGATCTTAAAGTCATTAACCAAGAACTTCGAGAATGTTGTATGTGCAATAAAAGAGTCAAATGACCTAGCGACGTTCACGGTCGATGAACTCGCCGGTTCTCTCGAGGCACACGAGCAACATAAGAAGAAGAAGGAGGAAACATTCGATCAAGCACTTCAAACCAAGGCATCAATCAAAGATGAAAAGACACTCTACTCTAAAAAAATTTAAGGTAGAGATCGTGAAAGTTGCGAAAATGGTCGAGGTGGAAAAGGTAGCAGTAATGAAGGATACTATAAGGAGAAGAGACATTCGAGCCAAGAAAATTGTCGTGGAAGAGGATGCAGTCGAGGAAGAGGCGGCCGATCAATTTATTCCAACATTCAGTGCTACAAATGTAAAAAATATGATTACTATGCGAATGATTGTAACTTCGACAAATGTTACAATTGTGGCAGAGTGGGGCATTTTGCAAGAGATTGTCGAGCCGATAAAAAGGTGGAAGAAGCAACCAACTTAGCCTTGGAAGATGTAACAAATGAAGGTCTTCTTTTGATGGCTCAAGATGAAGACAACATCAACAACGACACTCTGTGCTACCTCGACTCAGGGACAAGCAACCATATGTGCGGTAACGAGTACCTATTCAAAGAGATGCAAAATATTAAAGATGGTCATGTGTCATTTGGTGATGCGTCAAAGGTGGAGGTCAAAGGCCAAGGTACGATACATTTCTTGCAAAAGGATGGTGTAATGGGGTCAATCCAAGATGTTTATTATGTACCAGACCTCAAGACCAACATATTGAGTATGGGGCAACTCACAGAAAGGTTACTCGATATTCTTAAAAGACCGCTTGCTACACTTGAAGGATAAGCAAGGGCGTTTGGTTGCTCGAGTCAAGATAGGAAGAAATTGGATATAGAAACTGAATTTAAGAAGCATACGAGAAAAGTGTTTGCGAGTCGACGTAGAAGACAAGGCATCACTATGGCATCTCCACTTTGGTCACCTACATCATGGTGGCCTAAAGGAGTTAGCAAAGAAGAATATGGTGCATGGGCTACCCAACGTGGACTTTGAAGAAAAATTTTGTGAAGAATGCGTGTTCAGCAAGCATGCGAGAGCTTCAATCAAAAGAAGGCTGAAATTTGGGCTAAACAACCTCTCAAGGTGATTCATACAGATATATGTGGACCAATTACCCCTGAGTCTTCCAGCGGAAAGAGGTATTTCATTTTCTTATTGGATGATTACTCACGAAAAACTTGGGCTTACTTTTTGAAAGAAAAATTCGAGGCATTCGAGGTATTCAAAAAGTTCAAAGTGATGGTGGAGAAGGCAACTGGTAGACGCATCAAAGCTATACGATTCGATAGAGGTGGCGAGTATACTTCGACGGCTTTCATGGAGTATTGCGAGAAGCAAGGCATAAGGTGATTTCTAACCGTACCGTATACCCCTCAACAAAATGGTGTGACCGAGAGAAAGAACCGGACCATTCTCGGCATGGTTCGATCAATGCTCAAGAGCAAAAGGATTCCAAAGGAATTTTGGGCAGAAGCCCTGCAATGCAACATCTACGTACAAAATCGATGTCCACATGCGAAGTTAGATGATCAAACACCACAAGAGGCTTGGAGCGAACAAAAGCCTACAATCTCTCATCTCAAAGTGCTCGGTATGTGGCTTATGCTCACATATCAGATCAACGAAGGAACGAAGCTAGAAGATAAAAGCAAAAGGTATATTTTTATTGGATATGATGAGAAGACAAAAGGATACATGCTACTTGACCCGATAAGCAAGATGGTGATAATGTGTTGCGATGTGCAAGTAAATGAAGCAAGTGAATGGGACTGGAACAATTCGACGGAAGTCAATATCGAAGTTGGAGAATCATCGGTCGTTGCACCAACAAGTGCACCAACAGACTCAAAATTTCCAATGATGAAGATGAACCACAACAACCCAAAATGCAAAGTTTGCGAGGCTTGTATGACTCAACAAATGAGGTACACCTTGTATGTCTTCTAGCAGATGTTGAAAATATCAGCTTTGAGGAGGTGGTGCGAGACAAGAAATGACAAACTGCCATAGATAAGGAGATTAAAGTGATTCATCGCAACAATACATGGGAGGTGACAAAATTACCGGAAGGAAGTCAGCTCATAGGTGTGAAGTGGGTATTCAAGAAAAATATAAATTCTCAACGCAAGATAGAGCAGTACAAAGCGCGACTTGTTGTGAAGGGATACAAGCAAAAGGTGGGAATCGACTATGATGAAGTGTTTGCTCCCGTCGCTAGAATGGAGACAATTCTATTGCTCATTTCCCAAGCAGCTCAATTCAAATGGCCGATTTTTCAAATGGATGTCAAGTCGGCATTCTTGAATGGTGTGCTTGAAGAAGAAGTCTACCTCGAACAACCACCCAGGTACATGAAAATTGGAGAAGAGAAGAAGGTACTACAATTGAAGGAAGGTGCTTTACAGGTTGAAGCAAGCACTGTGAGCATGGAATACTCGTATCGATACATACTTCAAAGAGAACGGGTACAAGAAATGTCCCCACGAACATGCACTTTACACAAAGAAAAGTGGAGGTAATGTGATACTTGTTGCTCTTTATGTCGATGACCTCATCTTTTCAGGCAACAATGATGAAATGATAGAAGAGTTCAAAAACACAATGACACGAGAATTTGAGATGATAGACTTGGACTTGTTGAAGTTTTTCCTTGGTTTGGAGGTTAAGCAAGAAAAGACAAGTATCTTTATATCACAGGAGAAATATGCAAAGGAGATTTTGAAGAAGTACAAGATGAAAAATTATAACCCGGTATCAACACCAATGGAACCAGGTGCAAAACTCTCAAAGTACGATGAAGGAGAACGAGTAGATGCAAATAGGTACCGGAGCTTGGTAGGAAGCCTTCGTTATCTTACATGCACAAGGCCAGATCTTTCATGAAGTGTCGAC